GATTTTGCTTCTAAAGAGGTATCTGACACTGAATTTTCATAATTGCAGAGAAAAATTGCTGTAATAGACCCTACTGCACTATACACTCTTCTTTCCTTGGCAACAGAGTATAAAAAATCAGGTCAGTATGGTACCAAGAGTTTCCCATCCAGGGGCTGCTTGACAGACTAGTATTTGGTGGAGCTGGTATATATATATAGAGAGAGTCCAAGCTCCTTTCAGTGGATGTGTTTTCCCTGACACAAACACAGCAACAACGCCTTCCTTCCCCTGCCTGCCAAAAAAAGAACACTGGTGGAACCTTTGGTTTTTTAGTGCACACCCTTGAGCTATGGTAAGAGCAAAGAAATGTAGGCATTGAAGATACCGCTGCCCACAACCCTTGTATATCTTGCTCTTGGGGCTCCATTTTCCAGATGCAGCAACCTGAAAATGAGACAGAGTACAGCGGGAAGACAAAAGGACCTTCAACAGGACACTGGGCTCCCCCACCGCACTGTTCCAGTAGGACAAACTGAATATCTGACTGGAATACCCCTTCCCAACCTACACAGAGCAAGCTCTAGCGTGCCTTTGCACAATGCAAATGTAACATGATCACATGTACCCATTGACACAAAACAGACACAAGACATGCTTCCTGTCTGGAGCTTAACAGACGATCAGAATTCAAGTTCCCTGCCCTATTTTTAGAAAAGACTGGAAAACACAGTACCCCCTTGTCTCCTGGCATTCTCCTGCCCCCAAGCTTGTCGGCTTTCTCACTTGCTGTCCTCAAATGGGAAAACAACCTCTTTTCATATGGCATCTGGAGCTTAAGGTGAGCAACATGACCTACTTCAGCAGAAACGTGCAGGTCGCAAAAGACGGCATACAAATGTCTTAAATAAATAAAATAAATTTTGGTTTTCTCAAAGACAGGCAAAAATCTGTGAATGGTGAGGCAGGAAACTTAACCTATTTAGGTTAAGTTTAGGCTTACTGCTTTAGATATGGCCAACCCAAAACATCCTGTTGCATCATTTGACCTAGAAAGGGCATTCTAGAATCCACTGCAATTACAGAAAGGATGACCGGAAGTAACTCTCAGAGCAGGAGGTGGTACATTGATGCACGTGATGACATTACAAGGGATCCTGGGGCACAATTGTTAGTCTGCAGCTCATGCCACAGGTAAGTCCTGAACTTGAGGTGTCCATCCCCACATAAATATTTTCTTCTTAAGGAATGCTTAGCTAAAGGGACACATGTTCTTCAAGAGTTGTTCCCAAAAGCAGGAAGGACATTGGTGATCAAATGGGATGAGGGCAAATATGTCACATATGCAAGATATCACCTGTCAGGAAACCATTGCTGGTAAGGGGAAGGCTGGTAAGGGGAAGGCTGTTTGTTTTTATTGTTTTTAGTCAAAGGCCACCCTACCATACAGCAAACTGAGATAATAACCACAGGCAGTGCATTGGGCATCATTAAGAGTAGAGAAATGGGAGACAGAAATAGCTTCCACTGAGAAATTCCTGTTTTGCAACTGCTGTATCAAAATGAATGGGAATGAACTGCTACCCATATGAGGAACAGTGTCTGCACAAAATGGCCCCTTGAAACGGCAGGCCGAGTGATTACTTGCAAGAGATAATAATACTTAGCATTCAGAGAGCACTTTATAGAGTGTTCAAAGCACTTCCTAACATGCTGCTATCCTTACAACAGCCCTGTAAGATAGGTCAGTATGATTATCTTCAAACTGTTGGATTGATGCTGAGGGAGGGAAGCAGAGAATGAGAAAAAGGCTTACAGGTAGGCATTGCAACCTGTTGTCAACACTGCCAGAGCCCTCCTGGCCAGAAGAACTGTTCCAGTCCAAAGCTATGCATCTGGATTTTTTCCTCCAAATTAGATGCAGGCATATGTCTTGCAGTGTAACCAATTTCACTTCTAAGTTAAAGAAAGACCTACCCCATAAAAGTCTTCCTCAAGTACCTTTTCTCTCAGGACTGAATTGCTACTTCAAAAGATCCTATATCGTCCCTTGACCCACCAATGAATTTACCCAGAATGCAATGCTCTTGCCTCTCCAGAACAGTAGATGGTGGATTCAGGGCCAAACCAGAAATGACATGGGAGATCTCATGCAGTTTACACTTTGCTAATTAGCAGGCCCATGAGTTTATTAGAAGGTGGGAGAGAAGTGATGATCTGGGAGGAGGTTTTAACTTTAACCTATCCTGTAAGCTTCCCACAGCTCTCCACCATGAAACTGTTAGTAGCTCAAAGTGTGTGCAGGAGTGTGTGGGTGGGAAGACATGAGCAGATGCTGTTCTTGTTCTCCCCATCTCTCAGATCCAGCATGACTTTCCTACCCTACATCTGCCTTGGACCTTGCTTGCAACCAATACCAAACCTACTGTTCATTTGCAAATTTAAACTTACCAGTGTCAAACGGAAAATAAGAGCAAGGGAACAGAAATAGCCTTGGGATGATAAGGAGTACTGTAGATAAGCAGGCAAGTCTAGTCAGTGGTATGCAACCTTCAGTTCCATGAAAACAACTCAAGAAAAGTGCTAGCATGGATGTTCACAGGATTGATTTCCGCAAAATGAAAAGGATGGCAAGCCATAAGCAAACACGTAAGAAGGACACGTACACTTAGATATTGGCTGAGTCATATGAACCTGGTCATTTCTGACTAGATACCTTAACAGGCTTCCATTAAAGCTCTGTCCATCCACATACTTGGCCACATAAACAGCTCCTTTCTTGCACCCCTAGTGTGCTTAGCTCTCCTCTAAGTGAGAGTCAGCTACCTGCTGTCATAAGTCTCTCTAACAACAGACTCCAAACACACGTCCTGTGGTTGGCTGTAGGACTACAGCTGGCCCTTACAGCTGAGGCAAGAAGCCAGGCACCAAAAAAAAAAAAAAAGTGATGCACACAGTACAGTGAAACATGCCGGGGAGAGAATTTTTTTGCATGCTAAGTAGTGTTAGCATATGATTTCCTCCCTTCCCACCCATGGTAACAGCAATATAATTCATCATATGTAATTTGCCTTGTAGTGTGCAAGATGGGATATAACCACTCTAATAAATTCAACTTCAATTTATTACATTGCAATTCTAAGGCCAAACCAGATGTGTGTGTGTTTCCTAAAAGGTTTGGAGGGGGTTTTCTTTGATAAGGTCCTGTTAATTTGCCAGTGGGAGCTGTGATTCACTCAAGAGTTTTACCATTTTCCTCTCCAAAATTCAATTCCCAAATGCAACAGGGCTTGTCACAAGACACATTTAAACTTCGCTTTCTGTCTGAGAAGGCCCCCAAGTGTTGCAGGAGCCCACAGCATGGGCACCACCTACCACCTACAGCTGCTAAAACTGCAGAGATGGATGTGTGCAACAGCGGGCAGGAAGAGAGAGAAAATGCTGTACCATCATCTTCATTCCCATTAATGCCTATGTTCAGGAAGTGAGTGCAGCTTACGTAGCCAGAATGGCACCAGCTGTACACAACACAGCTGTACACATCTCATCTGGTAGCTGTGAGCCCCATAAGACCTAATGCATGCCCAGTGCAGCACCAAGAATAGCTATGCTTGGGCATCTGCCAAAGACCCACTGACAGAAGCCTCTTCCTCTTCACCACTGGAACCTGCTTGCTCACCAGTCTTTTACTCTGGCCCCAAAGACAGTCGTTGTGGAGAGAAGATGCCCCGTTGGTTTGCTCCCTGCCTCCCTGTCTGTCCAACAGGCAAGTGCCAGCAGTGAAGAGGAGGAGGATGAGGAGCAAGAGCAGCTGGTGGGGAGAAGGCAGTCTCATTGAGGGGGGGTCATGGTGGGCATCTTGTCCAAGGATCCTTAAACATCTGGAGTCCACACTGCTGGTCCCTGCTTCTGTCCAGCTCATTTCACCTGGCTTGAGAGGATGGAGCCCTACAAAGCTTGCTGCTGCTATTGACAGTGTCTACAGACCATCACGCTGACATTTTGTATAGGAGCTGTTGCTGGGGGAAATTTTATTTGGGTTTGCACGACATGATAAGCCAGTGTGACTCATAAGCCGTGGTGGGGTACTGAGCCATGTGATTTTGGGCTGTTTCCTGCAGGGAGGCTTGTTCATGGGCAGCCAGTGGCTTGTCTTAGGGGCTGTCCTAAATTAGAACCAATGATTCAAGAACAACCCACAATCTGCAAGGGATTGTCATGTCACCCAAACTCAGGCAACTGTCCCCATCGTGGATGAAGGGAAGCAGTGAATGAGCCTCTTGGCAAGAATGGCACAGCCCCCTGTGGCTCTTGCCAAGATTGTCCAGGCCGCCACCAGTGCCAGCCATCCCATACAAGCCCAAGTGGACCATTGGGGTGACTATCATGAGCTAGTGGTTCTCTGTAGGTGTCATGAGCCTTTTTAGTTCATTTCAGCTTCCCACTCCACTTTTAGTCATTTTTTGCCCTCAGAGATTCCTATCTCTTTTTTGACAGTAACAGGTATCTCTTGACTGTTGTCAGAAGGTGAGCTTGTAAAGGGAAAGCAAGGTCATCGGTTATCTTTGTTCACTAAAGAAGGGGGACAGCAGAAATCCAGTGAGATCCTCATCTTTTTATTTTTATTTTGCACATCTCACCCCATTTTCAGGCTCCCTTCCAAAAGGGGTTTTGCTAGGACAATTGGCGTTTTTTTGACCAGGATATATACAGCAACTTGTAAAACCCTACTGGGAAAACCGCAGAAACAGCTCCACGAGGACTGAGCATGCTGAGGGAGAGGGGAAATAGAATGAGGTACAGTGGAGAAAGGTCTGGCTGCTGGAACAGGGCACAAAAGCAGTGCAGGCAGCATCATTTTGCTGCATAGCCCCAGATAAAAGATTAATAGAGAGGAGATGAATGTGGGGTGAACATGTTCAAAGTGGGTGAGGGTTTTGAGAGGACCTGATGGCACAAGGAGAGGGATGCCACCAGGGAAGCTAGGGTGGAGCTCCTGAATATGCCAAACATCATCCTACCTTGTTGGATGCCATCTCGCTGACAGAGCGGTATGTCTGAATAGTCTCCAGCTGGTCAAGACACCAGTCAAGCTCCTCTAAGGTCTCTCTGGCCAGCTGCTGGTATGTCTCTTCTGCAGGAGTAGTGAAAGAAGAAAGCACAACGTTAGCTCCAAGTGACAGACTGAGCATCCCATAAGGAAAGAAGAAGCTCCCTTCAAGGCTCCTCTTGCCTTGCCTATCGCATACAGTTCAGGAACCTCCTTGAAGTCAGGTTCATTACAATGAGATACAGCTAGGGCAGGAATGGTGTCCCTGGAGGAGTTTTCTAGAGCAGAAGGTGCAGGATGATCTCAAATTAGGCCTGCTCACCCTGTGGTCCACCAATCATTGCCTGGGGTTGGACCAGTCCTGTTTTTGCTGCCTGCCTGGGGATGCAGGTGGTGGAGGCCACAAGGGGCATGATGGACTAGAGGGACGTGTTCAGTCCATCTTAAGTTGTGCAAGCTTGGGGTAAAGGTAACAGCACATTTGGAACTGAGAGTGTAGTACTTCAGTCAAGACTCAGAGACCCACAGTGTTCTCACCATTGTGTCCTTCTAAAATCCTTCCAGCATGACCCGCTCTGACTTGCTCAACTGGTACAAAGGCTGTGGGAATGACCATCTCCACCAGAGCAGTGAAAGCCATTAATACTATTTATTAACCACATTTGTCCCCAGCTTTTAAAGCTACATTTCCTTATTGCAGCTCTTTCAAAACACTATAAAATATAACAATTCTGTCATTTCTCCTTGGGAGATGCAGAATTGGTAGCCATTTTGGATGAGGTAACAAGCAAGGAAACAGAAGTGCTAGTGGCTTTCTCCCCCTATTTCTTCACATGTTTGCATCAAGTCCTCCAGGATCAAGAGCTGCTGGACTGCAGTTGAGAAAGAGATGAATATATCTCACACTGCTGAATGGCAGGAATAAAAGGTGGGGCACATGATCATAAGCATACAATGATTTTATGTGGGTGCAATCCATGGAGGACAGTGCAGCTCAAGCTGCTGGGATGTTTCACTTGACACAATGAATTACCCAGAAAATAAACTATGGTGAGTTTGTTGTTCACTCACAAACCTACATTACTCCCAGTCAGGTGCTGTGTGCCTTACTGTGGTTTGTTTCCCCCTTAAATCTTCTGCCCACTTTTGGCAGGTACCCCATTGGCCTTCACTGCACAATTTCAGCAATTTACCCTGCTATCATGTTAAAGTTAGTTACAGCATTTAAGCTGATTTACCCAAATCCCTTTGAAAGAATTTTAAAAAGAGTTAAATATGTACAAATCTCCCTGAAGATGGAAAAAGGTTGAACTGGCATAAATTTGAGTAAAGTTTAAAATAACAAAATAAAGTTACATATATGCAAATTTCCCCAAAATGGAAAAAAAACATGTCAAATTGGCACAAATCTCCCCAAGGATGAAAAAATGATGTCTCTATCTAGGGAGAAGGGAAGTGGAGGAATAAATTGTTCAGTGTTGTTTCAAGATGTACGAGAGACAGAATGTCATTAGTGAAATCACAAGAAGTGGCCAGTTGAGATTTTCATGACTCTTTCCAGGTAGCTCTTTCATGGTTTTAAAGAGCGCGTGCTGAAGTGACTCTGCTGGGTTCAGACATCAACCAAGCCACCCTAAAAAACCCTAGTACAAACTGTGGATTCTCAGGGCAGACTGTAGGCAAAAAAACAAACCTCAAAGAAAAGCCACTCTACAACCATCCATGGCGACAACCCACCATGGTATAGCATGCTGTGCAAACCACATCATTGACTGTAGGTGGGCCTCTTGCTTCTGCTACTGTAGAAGCTGCAGTACTTGGGGAAAGCAAGCTGAACTCATTACCTATGGCCTTCCTTTATTTTGGGAGGGAAGAGCAGATGGCAAGCAAGAGGCAACACTTAATTATTAGAGAGCAGGACAATAAGGCAAAATTGGGGTGAGTCCCACACAGCCTTCCTTAACCTGGTGCCTACTGGCTCAGGATGATAGATATTACCTAACATATTTGTAGAGTGTCGGGTTGGGTGAGGTTGGGTTTAATTCCTATGCTAAATGCTACCCACTCTTCAGCTAAGTCAATGAGATTTCCTACAGTTTCTAGCTCAACAAAATGTCATTGCTTTTCAAGAAAACTCCATGACTCTGATGAAAGTTTGCAGCTCAAAACAAAACTTAGAATCACATCAATTGCCACCATCTGCAGATTATGGTGCAATTAAGGACAAACAGATTGCAAGCCTCACTGCACAACACCCTCAAGTCTAGCCTGTCCTGCACCCACTCAAAGCAGTCCTTTCCAGCTATGACACAGGTTATAAACCAGTTGGAGGAAAAGTCACAGCTTAATTCTGTGACTTGCATGAACAAATTTATATGCTTGGACGTAGGCATGAACCCCCTTCATGGATCACTGCCTTGCCATGGTGAAGGGGCTTGTGTAGCGCAATGAAGCTATGAGCTATGCCATGCAGGGGCACCCAAGATGGACAGGTCATGGCAGAGAGCTCTGAGAAAAGGTGATCCACTGGAGAAGGAAATGGGAATCCACTCCATTACCCTTGCCATGAAAACCCGATGGACAGTACCAAAAGGCAAAAAGATATGACGCCAGAAGATAAGCCCCTCAGGTTGGAAGGTGTCCAATATGCTACTGGGGAAGAGCGGAGGGCTAGTAATGCCAGAAAGAATGAAGCGACTGGGTCAAAGCTGAAAGGACACTCAGTTGCAGAAGTATCTGGTGGTGAAAGGAGAATCCGATGCTGCAAAGATCTATACTCCATAAGAACGTGGAATGTAAAATCCATGAATCAAGGCAAGCTGGATGTGGTCAAACAAGAGATGACAAGACTGAACATCAACATCTTAGGAATCAGTGAACTAAAATGGACAGGAATGGATGAATTTAATTCAGATGACCATCAGGTATACTACTGAGGGCAAGAATCCCTCAGAAGAAGTGGAGTAGCCTTCATAGTCAATAAAAGAGTAGGAAAAGCAGTACTGGGATACAATCTCCAAAATGACAGAATGATCACAGTTTGAACCCAAGGCAAACCATTCAACAACACAGTAGTCCAAGTCTATGCCCCAACCACTGATGCTGAAGAAGCTGAAGTTGACAGGTTCTGTGAAGGCCTACAACACCTTCTAGAAATATCACCAAAAATGATGTCCTTATCATCATGGGGGATTGGAATGCTAAAACAGGAAGCCAAAAGATAACTGGAATAACAGGCAAGTTTGGCCTTGGAGTACAAAATGAAGCAGGGCAGAGGCTGGTAGAATTTTGTCAAGAGAATACGCTGGTCAAAGCAAGCACTCTTTTCCAACAACCCAAGAGACGACTCTACACATGGACATCACCAGACAGTCAACATAGAAATCAAATTGACTATGTGCTCTGCAGCCAAAGATGGAGAAGCTCTATATAGTCAGTAAAAACAAGACCAGGAGCTGACTGGGGTTCAGATCATGAGCTTCTTGTTGCAAAATTTTGGCTGAAATTGAAGAAAGTAGAGAAAGGCACTAGGCCACTAGTGTATATTCATCATATCCCTGATGAATATACAGTAGAGGTGACAAATAGATTTAAGGAATTAGATCTGATAGACAGAGTGCCTGAAGAACTATGGACAGAGCTTCGCAACATTGTACAAGAGGTAGCAACTAAAACCATCCCAAAGAAAAAGAAATGCAAGAAAACAAAATGGCTGTCTGAGGAAGCTTTACAAATAGCTGAGGAAAGAAGGGAAGCAAAAGGCAAGGGAGAAAGACAAAAATACACCCAATTGAATGCAGAATTCCAAAGAATAGCTAGAAGAGATAAGAATGCCTTCTTAAAAGAACAGTGCAAAGAAATAGAAGAAAACGATAGAATAGGGAAGACCAGAGATCTCTTCAAGAAAATTGGAGATATGAAGGGAACATTACATGCAAAGATGGGCATGATAAAGGGCCAAAATGGCAGGGACCTGACAGAGGCAGAGGAGATTAAGAAGAGGTGGCAAAATTACACAGAAGAACCATTCAAGAAAGATCTTACCATCCCAGATAACCATAATGGGATGGTCGCCTACCTCGAGCCAGACAACCTGGAATGTGAAGTCAAATGGGCCTTAGGAAGTCTGAGCAACAACAAAGCTACTGGAGGAGACAGTATTCCAGCTGAGCTATTCAAAATCCTAAAAGACGATGCAGTAAAAGTGCTACACTCAATATACCAGCAAATTTGGAAAACTCAACAGTGGCCACAGGATTGGAAAAGGTCAGTTTACATTCCAATTCCAAGAGAGATGGGAGATCCAGACCATCTTATTTGACTCCTGAGAAACCTGTACGCAGGTCAAGAAGCATAAGTGAGAACTGGACACGGAACCACTGATTGGTTCAAAATTGAGAAAGGACTTTGGCAAGACTGTATACTGTCGCCTTGCCTTTTTCACTTATGTACAGAGCACATCATGAGAAAGGCAGGGCTAGATGAATCACAAGTTGGAATTAAGATTGCTGGGAGAAATATCAACAACATCAGATATGCAGATGATACCACTCTAATGGTAGAAAGTGAAGAGGAACTAAAGAGCCTCTTGATGTGGGTGAAAGAGGAGAGCGCAAAAGTTGGTTTGAAACCCAACTAAGATCATGGCAACTTGTCCTATCACTTCCTGGCAAATAGAGAGGGAAGAAATGGAGGTAGTGACAGATTTGATTTTCCTGGGCTCCAAGATCACTGCAGATGGTGACTGCAGCCAAGAAATTAAAAGACGCTTGCTCCTTGGGAGGAAAGCTATGGCAAATCTAGGCAGCATACTAAAAAGCAGAGACATCACCCTGCCAACAAAAGTGTGTATAGTCAAGGCTATGGTTTTCCCAGTTGCAATGTATGGCTGTGAAATCTGGACCATAAGGAAGGCTGAGCCTTTGAACTGAGGCCTTTGAAATGTGGTGCTGGAGAAGACTCCTTGGACTGCAAGGCGATCAAACCAGTCAGTCTTAAGAGGATATGAACCCTGACTGCTCTTTAGAAGGCCAGATACTGAAGATGAAACTCAAACACTTTGGACACCTAATGAGAAGGAAGGACTCCCTGGATAAGAGCCTAATGCTGAGAACAATAGATGGCAAAAGAAGAAGGGGATGGCAGAGAATGAGGTGGCTAGATGGAGTCACTAAAGCAGTCAGCGTGAGCTTAAGTGGACTTCGGGGAATGGTGGAGGACAGGAGGGCCTGGAGGAATGTTGTCCATGGGGTCGCGATGGATCGGGTGCAACTTTGTGACTAGCAACAACAGGTATGAACAGGTGCAACTGGACCTGTACCTTCCCATGATCTCAGTAGCTGATGAGGATTTAACAGGAGGTCAACTCACACTTCATGACAGAAGACATATTTCACTGTTATTTCTTGTGAAAAACACTCTTGAGTATCAAGGAAAGACATACATCCCCAAAAAAATAGTGTCCTAGAGAGCAGCACATGTGCAGCAAAATGGCCAGTCCCATATGGTGCAAAATCAGCACCAACCTAAATGCCAGAGCGTGGTGTAAACTAACTGATGTTGGCTGAATAGGGACATGCCAAACTCCAAAGCGAATGATTGATTCAAGCCACAGACAACTAGTTGAATGTCCCCACACTGTTGATGGGGCAACAGCTCAAGTTGAGTGTGAGTTTACTTGTCCAAAGTTCTGTAGTGGGTCCAAGGCCAAACTGAGGGTTGACTTGAGGAATTTCTTGTCTCATAACTCACAACAACTCAGAGGAGAGCAATCTTTTACCCTCCAGGCATTGTTGGAGAATTCCCACTAGCCCAATCAATGTCAGGGACGATGGGAGCTGTAGTCCAGCAAAATGCACAGGCCAGATGTTCTTCAGTCCTGTACTATATGCCACAGAAGTTATTTTCAGAATAACCCACCATACAAAGCTCTGCTTGCCTAACACCACACCACAGCCAGAAGAGCTCAGAATTCAGAACCTAAACAGCAAGACCAGGTGCTGTAATCTTTTAAGACAAAGATTCCAATATGGCAGGCAGAGAAGCTAATGCTCAAGAGGACAAAGGAGATTAGCCTTTCAGAATGCAAGTTGCACCAGGTACAAGGACCTGAGGTCTAGCAGCTTGCACGATCTTTTTGCATGTGACTGTGTTTGTTTTTAATTTCCTTTCAAGAATAGTTTTGTACTTGGGGAGAATCCAAGCTGGCACAAGAAATTACCATTAATGTGGAAATTCCAAAAGACTCCACAGTCTCACTAATTAACATCGGTTGCAACCAGACTAGAAAGTCTCCTGCAGAAATGCAACTGCCTAACGGAGCGCTATGGCTGTCACCTGCTCAATAACTGAGGCCCAAATTGGCCACCTAACCTTGCCTCTATTGCAAGAGTGCCTCCATCTTTTCAGCTTTCCCCCCAAAGAGGATGGTATGAGTAGCAGAACATTTGTCTGCTCCCTCTGTGGAGTGTAGATCCTTGGGGGGACAGCTATGATGGAATGTCAGAGAAATGTGCAACAGATTCAAATGAGATCTGATTTCTATGGATTTGACCTGCAAGCAGCATAGCACATCACTTTTTCCAAGCCACACAGGGTGGACTTGCTGACTGCCTTTTGATGGGGAGTCGTGCTAGTGTATTCTAGTCAAAATAGAAAAGAATTATGGTAAAAATATTCACTTCCATTGAGTGCATGACAAGATGCTTGACAGTCTGCGAAACACACAATGAATTGGTTTTAACAAAGTATATACATCCCTTTGAGTGTGTGTGTCACTCCTTCCCATAAGCTTTGAAAAGTAGGGAAAAGCCCACTGAAATTTTCCTAGACCTTGAGAAATAATGCTAGGTCTGTGCAGCTGACTTTGTGTGTCTCCTTGTTGCTCCTCCAGAATCAGAGACCCTTTTGGTGCTAAACACCAAGCTTTCATTACCTGAGAGCGTGGCCTTGCAAACTGTTGGCTGGCAACCCATGGGCGACCTCCTAAGGAAGCAGAACAGAAAAAGATACAAGATCAAACTAGTCCAGTGGAAAGCCTCCAGCCTTTCCACACCCAGCTTGCTGTAAGACAACACATCTGCAGGTTTGTAGGGAGCTACTGCCCTTGGTGAAACCCCAAATCCATTACCTCCTTAATTATTCTTAGGGAGTGAGATGGAAACATGAGGGGATTTAAGTGGAGAATATGATGAGAGAGGCCATTCT